GTCACAAGACCAGTTCACATGCAGTTTGATAATATAACAAGAGGTACAGTGATCACAACCTAGCAAGTATAAGCATGCAGGTATATATATAGAGATCACAGTACAAGCAGAGTCAAGAAGTGAGCAAGTGAGGGACAGTAGGCACAAGGCCTAGAACAGTACAGAAACGCTGATGATCACAAGGCTGAAGCGCCTTGGTGAACACATCAGCAGTGTTGGCCCGAGTGGCCACGTAAGCAAGACGAAGCTGACCACGCTGCTGCAACTCTCGAGCAAGGAAGTAGCGCAAAGCAATGTGCTTCGTTCTGTGCTCCAGTCTGTGCTCCTGACACAAGGCAATGGCGGCCTTGTTGTCGACGTACAGCACTGGAGGAGAACGAGGCCGCTCTCCCAGGTCGGTCAGCAGGTAGGTGGGCCAGCATAACTCCTGTGCAGCCATGGCTGTGGCGTAGATCTCAGCCTCACAACTGGAGCTGAGAACTGAAGACGAGCGTGTAGAACGCCAAGAAACTGAACCAGAGCCAAGGCTGAAGGTGTAACCCTGAGACGACCGCTGTGTAGCCTGGTCGTCAGCCCAAGAAGCGTCTGAGTGCCCAGTGAGGACAACGTCGCTCCGTCCTCCAAGCACAAGCCCCATGCCCGACGTACTGCACAAGTAGCGCATCACCCTCTTAGCGGCATCCATGTGCTCCTTCCGGTGACGGCCAGGAGCGACATAGCGTGCTAGGATGCCAAGAGAGTATGCAAGGTCAGGTCGAGTGCAGGTCATCAGGTACATGAGGCAGCCCACAAGCTCTGGATACGGGCCACTCGGCTCTACGGACTCATCCGAAGGCAGAGCTGAGAGCGAGTGACCGGTAGGCAGAGGAGTGGGCTGAGGCGAGGAGTACGTGAAGCGGAAGCGCTGAAGGACCTGCTGCACCATGTGTGACTGAGTCAAGGTGATGGTGCGCTGTGCTCTGTCCCGGGTGATCCGCAAGCCAAGATAGCTTGTCAGTTCACCCAGGTCTGTGCACGTGTGTCTCTTCTGCAGCTCCGACTTCACGTGGGCGAGTGCCTCAGTGTCAGCAGTAGCAAAGACCAAGTCGTCTACGTACACGAGAACGTAGAACGGCGGCAGAGTGGTGTCGGTGCGTAGGAACAGCGACGGGTCAGCAGTAGAAGGAGCAAACCCAAGAGCCGCAAGAGTAGTCCTCAGTGTGTCGTGCCACTCACGGGGTGCCTGGCGGAGACCGTAGACCGGCCGCCGGAGGCTCCACTGGGTACCAGGAGGGAACGACCCAGTGAAGCCAGGTGGGCGGCGCAGCCATATCTCCTCGTGCAAGGTGCCCTGTAGGAACGCAGTGCTGAAGTCAAGGCAGTGGAGCTCGTAGTCACGCTGAGCGGCGACGTGCAGCAGAACCCGAAGAGTGGTCATCTTGGGGTCGGGGAGAAGGTCTGGAAGAAGTCAACTCCCTCTCGCTGACTGAAGCATCGTGCTGTCAGATTTATATGACATAGCTACTGTAGGCTAGAGTGGGGTAGCACATATGGGGTACAGTTTTCTAGGGTTTGCTTCTTGTACCCAACTTTCACTTAGTCATTCTCATTCCTGTTTTTTCTTAATTCACATGGTATAGAGCGGGTTCCTACATGGGACCGTTCCTTCCTAAGGGCCCACCATAAGAATTTTTTTTTTAGCTGCCCGCGCACATTGCGCCCTGCCCTAAAATTTTTTTTTAGCGGCCCCTACGCTGCCTCTACGCGGCCCCTACGCCGCCTCCCACGCGCCCCCTATGCGGCCCCTGGCGGCGCCCTGACGAGGCCCCTGCCGGCGCCCTATCGCGGCCCCTGACGCGCCCCCTGGTGGCGCCCTGACGCGGCCCCTGGCGGCGCCTGACGCGGCCCTGACGCGGCCTGACGCGGCCCCTGGCGGCGCCCTGACGCAGCCCCTGCCGCGGCCCTGACGCGGCCCTGCCGCGGCCCTGCCGCGGCCCCTGACGCGGCCCTGACGCGGCCTGCCGCGGCCCCTGCCGCGGCCCTGAAGCGGCCCCTGACGCAGCCCTGACGCGGCCCTGACGCGGCCCTGCCGCGGCCCCTGGCGGCGCCCTGACGCGGCCCCTGACGCGGCGCCCTGACGCGGCCCCTGCCGCGGCCCTGACGCGGCCCTACCGCGGCCCCTGACGCGGTCCTGACGCGGCCTGCTGCGGCCCCTGCCGCGGCCCTGAAGCGGCCCCTGACGCGGCCCTGAAGCGGCTCTGCCGCGGCCCTGACGCGGCCCTGACGCGGCCCCTGACGCGGCCCCTGCCGCGGCCCCTTACGCGGCCCTGACGCGGTCCTGCCGCGGCCCCTGGCGGCGCCCTGACGCGGCCCCTGACGCGGCGCCCTGACGCGGCCCTGCCGCGGCCCCTGACGCGGCCCCTGCCGCGGCCCCTGACGCGGCCCCTGACGCGGCCCCTGTCGCGGCCCCTGACGCGGCCCCGCCACCTACCTTTCTGGCCCCGCCGCCTCCTCTTAGCGGCCCCGCCGCCTCCTCTCAGCGGCCCCGCCGCCTCCTCCCAGCGGCCCCGGACGCCGCCCTCTCAGCGGCCCCGCCGAGCCGCCCAGCAGCCTAGCCGCCCAGCAGCTGAGCCACCGAGCCGCCCAGCAGCCGAGCCGCCGAGCCGCCCAGCAGCCGAGCCGCCCAGCAGCAGAGCCGCCGAGCCGCCCAGCAGCCGAGTCGCTGAGCCGCCCAGCAGCCGAGCCGCCGAGCCGCCCAGCAGCCGAGCCGCCCAGCAGCCGAGTCGCCGAGCCGCCATGCAGCCGAGCCGCCCGAGCCGCCCTGTCCGGTAAGAGCAGCGCCTCTCTCACAGCACTGCCCTCACCCCACTGTTTGCGCTGCTAGTCTACTACTGTCATGGCTACCCCTAGTGTCCTGGCTTTTGACGCTGAGGGTCGGGCCATTGACTTTGACGTCTGGATAGATGACCTGCAGCTTTTCTTACAGTGCGATAGGGCAGACGGCCTCTCCCTCTTTGACCTCACTTCTGGTGCCTCTCCTGCTCCCGCCACTGATGCTGACGCAACTGTTCGCTCCCAGTGGGCCACGCGCGATGCTGCTGCACGTCTTGCTGTGCGTCGCCACCTGCCTACCTCTGAGCGTGCGCACTTTAGCCAGTACAAGAGTGCTCAGACCTTGTACGACGCTGTAGTTGCACGCTACTCCTCCCCTGCCACTGCTCCACTGAGCCGCCTCATGCTACCGTACCTCTTCCCTAACCTTGCTGCCTTTCCCACAGTCGCTGACCTCATCACGCACCTCCGCACTAGTGACACTCGCTACCGCGCTGCGCTTCCTGCTGAGTTCTGCGCCAAGAACCCCCCCCCCATGTACATCACCCTCTACTACATCGTCACCCGTCTCCCTGACTCCCTTCGCGTAGTCAGGGACCACTTCCTCTCGGTTTGTCCCACCACTCTCACCGTTGACCTCCTCGAGAAGGCCCTCCTAGCAGCAGAAAAGAGCATAGTCGCTGTAGGAGCCTCTCGTGGTGACCCTCGCACCCCCATCTTTGAGGGGTGTTCCCCCTCCCCTCTTTTGCCCTCTGTTGCCTCTGCTGCTGCGGCCGACCTCGCTGGTTTGGAGTCGGTTGGGGCAGCGTCTACCCCTAGCGGGAGATGCCGCCCTGGCAGGGGCAAGGGGGGCAGGGGCGCTGGAGGAGCTAGCGGGGGCGGTGGAGGCGGCGGTGGAGGTGGTGGAGGAGGTGGTGGTGGCGGTGGGAGTGGTGGCGGGGGTGGAGGTGTAGGTGGCGGCAGTGGAGGCGCAGGAGGCAGCGGCGGTGGCGGAGGGAGCGGAGGTGGCGGCGGTGGAGGAGGAGGCGGCGGAGGAGGTGGAGCTGGTCGGGGTGGCGCTGCGCAGAGGGTCAGCTCCGGTGGTGGTCAGCGCCAGCAGCAGCAGCAGCAGCAGCAGCAGCAGCAGCAGCGCACTCGTGACGTCCCCTCCCCTCAGCAGCTCCGTGAGTGGTACACTGCACGCCAGAGGGGTGGGGGTGCTGGTCCGTGCACCTACGTCCTGCGCACCGGCGACCGCGCGGGTGAGCAGTGCGGGGGTGCGCACTCCACCCAGCGCTGCTTTGGCCGCCTCACGGACGCTTGGCGTCACCAGTTCCCTGAGGCCACTGAGATCCCCCGCTGGGGTGAGCTGTCTAGGGCGGGTGTAGCTGTCTTTGACCTTGACTTTGATGCTATTCTTGCTGCCGTGTATACTGTGACTATTAGTGATGAGGGTGACTGTTACCGGTGTTTTCCGCCCGACCCGGGCATTGAGACTGCTGCTCTAGGTACTGGTGAGGCTGCTGCTCTAGGTGCTAGCGAGGCTGCTGCTCTAGGTGCGTCTACTCCCTCAGGTGCTGGTGAGTCTGCTCTCTCAGGTTCTGCGTCGGCTTCGGCCTCCCACACCTTCACACTTGACTCGGGGGCTTCTCGCTCCTTCTTTCGAGACCGCACCACACTCACGCCGCTTGGCCGGCCAGTTGCGGTCTCCCTGGCAGACCCCTCTGGGGGTCCTGTCCTTGCTCACTTCTCCACTGTCCTCCCGTGTCCGGCGGCCCCCTCTGGCACCCTGTCTGGTCTCTACCTCCCCTCGTTCTCTACGAACTTGGTGAGTGGTGCTGACCTACAGGATGCGGGGGTTCACCAGTTCACTCCTGCGAGTCAGCGGGTGACCCACTGCACGGACGCTCGGACAGGCCGCCACCTGGCCACGTTTACACGTTGGCCAGGGTCGAGCCTGTACACACTGACCACTGCGTCTCCTCCAGTCCCTGCGTCTGGTCAGGTAGCTGCGTCGGGTCAGGTGTTTGCTGCAGCGTCCAGGTCTGGTCCTGAGTCTGCCCCCTGCTCGTGTCGCCTCCTGTCTCACGAGACTCTCCTCTGGCACCACCGCCTTGGCCACCCCTCCCTGCTTCGTCTCCGGAGCATGGCCTCCCGTGTCCTTGTCTCTGGTCTTCCCCGGTCCCTCCCTCCCCTTCCTCCGGGGCCAGGCCCTACCTGCGTCCCCTGTGTCGAGGGACGGCAGCGGGCTACCCCTCACTCCTCCCAGTTTCCTCCGACAGAGGCCCCGCTGCAGACGCTTCACATGGACGTGTGGGGCCCGGCCCGCGTCCGTGGACAGGGTCACGAGCGCTACTTCCTGCTGGTGGTTGACGACTACTCGCGTTACACCACAGTCTTCCCCTTGCGCAGCAAGGGTGATGTCACTGAGGCGTTGATCGACTGGATCCGCGCAGCTCGTCTCCAGCTCAGGCGGAGCTTTGGCTCGGACTTTCCTGTTCTGCGTCTGCACTCTGACAGAGGCGGAGAGTTCTCCTCTGGCCTTCTGCGAGCCTACTGTCGTGCACGAGGCATCCGCCAGACCTTCACGCTTCCGGACTCTCCACAGCAAAATGGGATTGCTGAGCGCCGCATTGGCATGGTCATGGACGTCGCCCGTACGTCCATGATGCATGCGGCTGCCCCCCATTTTCTGTGGCCGTTTGCGGTTCGGTACGCGGCGCATCAGATCAACCTTCAGCCCAGGGTCTCCATGCCGGAGACCTCCCCAGCTTTGCTGTGGACGGGGAAGGTTGGCGATGCGTCTGCGTTCCGTGTCTGGGGATCTCGGGCGTTTGTCCGCGACTTGTCTGCGGACAAGCTGTCCCCTCGTGCTGCTCCTTGCGTCTTCCTGGGTTTCCCCCCTGACGCCCCAGGGTGGCAGTTCTACCACCCCACCTCTCGCCGTGTTCTGTCCTCCCAGGACGTCACGTTCGACGAGTCGGTCCCCTACTACCGCCTCTTCCCCTACCGCACTCCGTCCCTCCCCCCGCCACCGCTCTTCCTTGTACCAGGTCCCCCCCCGGTAGACCCCCTCCCCCCTCAGGGTCCTGCCCCTTCAGGTGTGTCCCAGGTAGACGCTGTTGAGCCTGTCGAGGTCGCTGGTGACTCTGGTGCTGCTGAGGGTGCTGAGCCTAGGGGTGCTGACTCTAGGGGTGCTGAGCGTGTGGGTGCTACGCCTGGGGGTGCTGAGCCTGGGGGTGCTGAGCCTGGGGGTGCTGAGTCTGGGGGTACTACGACTGGGGGTGCTGAGCCTGGGGGTACTACGCCTGGAGGTGCTGAGCCTGGGGGTGCTGCGTCTGGGGGTGCTGAGCCTGGGGGTACTACGCCTGGAGGTGCTGAGCCTGGGGGTGCTACGCCTGGTGGTGCTGTGCCTGGCGGTTCACCGGGTGCTCCCTCTCGCCGAGAGCCACTCTCTCCCCAGGAGCTGCGTGAGTGGTTTGCCCGGCGCTGGAGGCGAGCTGCTGGAGCTGCTGGAGCTGGAGGTGCTGCGGGTACTGGAGGTTCTGTTGCTTCTGAGGGAGCTGGTGCCACGGGTCCCGGAGGTGCTCGTACTGGGAGTTCTGGAGCTGCTGGACCTGCGGGTACTTCTGGAGCTGGAGTTGCTGCGGGTGTTGGCGCGGAGGCTACTGCTGTCGGTCCTGGAGGCAGTCCTGCTGGGGGTACTACTGGTGCTGCTGGGGGTTCTGGAGCTGGAGCTGCTACTGGTGCTGGTGCTGCCCCTGCGGGTGCTGGTGCTGTCCCTCCTGTGTCTGGAGTCGCCGCGCGGCCTCGGCCGTACTTCGTTCCGCTCCTTCAGCAGGTTCTTGGTCTCCCGCCTTCTACTGGTCCTCCTCCTCCCTTAGAGTGTCCACAGCCTGTCCCGTCGCAGTTACAGTTACAGCCGGCCTCCCCACTGCCTGCTCCGTCTCCCTACACTGGTCCTACTGGAGGTCTTGCTGAGCGTCGTGAGCCTGCGTCTCGCCCTGCGTCGCCTGTCCGTGCTGCTCGCACTAGTGGTCGCGGTTCGCGTCAGCGTCCTCCTCCTGTCCCTGGCACGCACCGGATGTCACTGCGTCCGTCCACTGCTCCTCTGCGTGCCCCTTTGCCTTCTCCTCCTGAGTCTTCTCTTCCTACTCTTGCCGACCCGAAGTCGGACTCTCTTCGCGCTGCCAGTCCTACTGTCACGCGTCTCCTTGCTACGGTTGTCACTGACCCTTCCTTTGAGTCCACTGCTGCGTCTGCTCTAGTTGCTGAGCTCGTCGACTTTGCTGCTCGCTGTCGCCTAGACTATGTCGCCAGTCTTGTTGCTGAGTCTGAGTCTGTTTGTCCTCCGTCCGTCGGGGGTGAGTGTGCCCTTGGCACGGACGTCCTTGAGGACAGGCAGGAGGAGTTCCAGTGCTTGGCCGCTGCTTCACCTCATCTCGTGTCCGTACTGCTTACCCCTGAGGGAGACCCGGATGCACTTGACATCCCGACTCCGCGCTCTTACGCGGAGGCGATAGAGGGTCCCTACTCCTCTCAGTGGCAGGCAGCTATGGACGCAGAGATGGCTTCCTGGAAGTCCACAGGCACCTACGTTGACGCTGTTCCCCCTCCTGGGGCGAACATCGTCAGTGGCATGTGGATTTTCAGGGTGAAGCGACCGCCGGGTTCTCCGCCTGTCTTCAAGGCGCGTTACGTGGCTCGTGGCTTCAGTCAGCGGCAGGGAGTTGACTACTTTCAGACCTTCTCTCCCACCCCGAAGATGACCACTCTTCGGGTACTGCTGCACGTAGCTGCTCACCGTGACTACGAGCTACACTCTCTTGACTTCAGCACTGCTTTCTTGCAGGGCAGCCTGCACGAGGAGATCTAGCTGCGTCGCCCACCTGGCTTCACTGGGTCTTTTCCTCCTGGCACCCAGTGGAGCCTACGGCGGCCAGTCTACGGTCTCCGCCAGGCACCGCGTGAGTGGCACGACACACTGAGGACTACACTTGCGGCTCTTGGGTTTGCTCCCTCTACTGCCGACCCGTCGCTGTTTCTGCGCACCGACACTTCTTTGCCGCCGTTCTACATCCTCGTGTACGTCGACGACTTGGTCTTTGCCACAGCTGACACTGCTAGACTAGCCCACGTGAAGTCCGAGCTGCAGAAGAGACACACGTGCACTGACCTGGGTGAACTGCGCAGCTACCTTGGCTTGCAGATCACTCGGGACAGAGCACGCCGCACCATTACCCTGACTCAGTCACACATGGTGCAGCAGGTCCTTCAGCGCTTCGGCTTCACGTACTCCTCGCCTCAGGCCACTCCTCTGCCTACTCGCCACTCGCTCTCAGCTCTGCCTTCGGATGAGTCCGTAGAGTCGAGTGGCCCGTACTCAGAGCTTGTTGGCTGCCTCATGTACCTGATGACCTGCACACGACCTGACCTTGCATACCCTCTTAGCATTCTTGCACGCTATGTTGCTCCTGGGAGACACAGACCGGAGCACATGGCTGCAGCGAAGAGGGTGTTGCGCTACTTGTGCAGTACGTCGGGCATGGGGCTTGTGCTTGGAGGGCAGAGTCCAGTGGTCCTTACTGGGCACGCAGACGCTTCTTGGGCTGACGACCAGGCTACGCAGCGGTCGTCACAGGGTTACACCTTCAGCCTTGGTTCCGGCTCTGTTTCGTGGCGGGCTACTCGCTCGTCTTCTGTTCTCGGCTCCAGTTGTGAGGCTGAGATCTACGCAGGAGCCATGGCTGCACAGGAGCTTCGCTGGCTCACCTACCTGCTGACTGACCTCGGAGAGTTGCCTCGTTCTCCTCCAGTGCTGTACGTAGACAACAAGGCCATGCTGGCCTTGTGTCGGGAGCAGCGACTGGAGCACAGAACGAAGCACATTGCTCTCCGCTACTTTCTTGCTCGTGAGCTGCAGCAGCGTGGTCAGCTGCGTCTTGCGTACGTGGCCTCTGAGGCCAACACTGCTGATATCTTCACCAAGGCACTTGCGCCTTGTGACCATCAGCGCTTCTGTACTCAGCTGGGCCTTGTGCCTACCTTGCCTCACTTGCTCACCTCTTGACCTTGCTTGTACTGTTACATATATATATACCTGCTCTTGTTTGTCTAGCCTTTTTTATATATATGTGTACTCCTGCTTGTGAACTGGCCTTGTGGCCTTGAACTTGTGCTCGGAATGTGTGGTGACTTTGTGATCCACCCTGAGCTTGTTTTTTGCTTTGCTTTGCTTGACTGGTCTTGTGACCCCTTGTTCTCCCCCACTTTGCCTATGGGGGTGTGTCAGATTTATATGACATAGCTACTGTAGGCTAGAGTGGGGTAGCACATATGGGGTACAGTTTTCTAGGGTTTGCTTCTTGTACCCAACTTTCACTTAGTCATTCTCATTCCTGTTTTTTCTTAATTCACACGTGCAACGCAACGCGCCTTGAAGACACGCGGAGAACCCGGCGGCCGCTTCACCCTGAAAATCCACATGCCACAGACGATGTTCGCCCCAGGTGGGGGAACCTCGTCGACGTAGGTGCCTGTGGACTTCCAGGAAGCCATCTCTGCGTCCATGGCTGTCTGCCACTGAGAGGAGTAGGGACCATCTATCGCCTCTGCGTAAGAGCGCGGGGTCGGGATGTCTGGTGCATCCGGGTCTCCCTCAGGGGCAATCAGCATGGACACGAGATGAGGTAAAGCAGTGGCAAAGCACTCAAACTCCTCCTGTCTGTCCTCTAGGACGTCCGTGCCAAGAGCACACTCACCCCCGACGGACAGAGGACAGACAGACTCAGACTCAGCAACAAGGCTAGCGGCGTAGTCTAGACGACAGGCGGCAGCAAAGTCAACAAGCTCAGCAACTAGAGCAGACGCAGCAGTGGACTCAAAGGAAGGGTCAGTGACAACAGTAGCGAGAAGACGCGTGACAGTAGGATTGGCAGCACGAGCAAGGTCTGACGGCGGGTCAGCAACGTCAGGAAGAGAGGACGCAGGAGGAGACGGCAGAGGGACACGCTGAGGAGCAGTGGAAGGACGCAGAGTCATATAGTGTGTGCCAAGTATAGGAGGAGGACGCTGACGCGGAGAACGACGACCAGTGCGGACAGCGCGGACAGACGACTCTGGACGAGACTCAGGCAACTCAGGACGAGACTCAGGCGACGCAGGACGAGACTCAGGCTCACGACGCTCCGTAAGACCTCTAGTCGGCCCAGCGTAAGGAGAAGGACCAGGCAGTGGAGAGGCAAGCGGTAACTGTGACTGCGACTGGACAGGTGGTGGACTCAGTAGGGGAGGAGAAGGACCAGTGGAGGGCGGGAGGCCAAGAACCTGCTGAAGGAGCGGAACGTAGTACGGTCGCGGCCGCTCAGCACCTC